ACCACCTCTGACCCTCACAAAACCCAAAGATAAGATTAGGACTTCCTGCCAGAATAAGACCCCAGTGAAAGAGGATAGATGTAGGGCACACTGAGGTCAACAGCGGGAAACCAATTAATATTAGCTGACAGCAGGCGAGCCTTCTCCTTGCAACAGTTGTTTTTCTTATACTATGTGGACTGTGGTGACACCACTCTGCATCAGGTCCATGCCAACCTTCTGGCTACTTTGCTTACTTTATGACCTTTTGGATAGTGGTTTGTATTAATCTCCTTCAACACTTAAAAGTGTGTAACATGTCAAACAACACAAATTCACACCAATATCAACTATCAATCAAGTGAAGGAAAATTCTTTCGTGTCTAGCGCGAAGAATCGCATCAAAACTACATGTAGGTGCAGGAAAAAATAAAATGAGATACAGAAAGTATGCATTTTATATTTCGCACTATTCTTATCTTTTTCATGCTTTGACTCTTCGCTCTTGTTGAAATAGAAACAAAATTACATTGTATTATCAAAAAACCACTGATTCCTCCGTTTAGCTATTCTGTGTGTGGTGCAAGTTGTGTTGTTGGTAGAGGGAGAAATTATTACGCAATACTATTAGAAATAAAAAATGCTGGAAATAATGAAGAAATGAAAGCCAAAGAACAGCATAAACTGGAGCAAATGTGATTTATAATATGGTGGAACACTAGACAGGAAGCCAAGAGGCTTTGCACTTTATGCCGTCGTCGTCAGGCCTCAGTTGTGAATACGCTCCAACTGATCAGATGCATTCATATTTCATGTAATTTGGATTCTGTGCTATTATTTAAAAGTGTAATGGTGATCGTAAAAATACAAGCAAACAATCACTACTTTGACTATTACAATCTTACATCGAAAGCAGAAAAAAACACACAAAATATTATCTTATCTTTTTTAAATAATACTGTGGGAACTGTGATTAAGAACTTCAATTACAATAAGCAATATATTTGGCACATGACATTTTCAGCTGATAAAGTTTTATGCCAGTGCAACAGATGCTATTTTAACATACAGCAGGTTTAGACGTATGGAAACACAAAGTAGTGAAAGACAGTCCAAAAGAAATTGTAAGCTCTCTTTATATGGTAACTTACAAATTTCAATATTTCCAAATTTTAATTTGGCTTTAAAAAAAAAAGTGAACCATATTTTTAAGACTGATCAGAGCACAAAATGAGGCCAATGTAGCAGTCTGTCTGTATGTCTGTCTGTCTATCTTGTTTTTGCATACCTGACTGTATAAGTACCACACTGTGAAAACGTTCCACTTGTGACTGTTACTGATAATCTTCAGAGCCATATTTAAAGATAACTGCAAAGCTGGATTAGTGTTTCAGAAAATCAACGCTTATAAATAAAACCAATTAACATATACTAATTAATTAATCATCTCCAGTGAATTCCTAGAACTGAACAAAAGAACTAGAACTATTAATAAAAAAAAATACCAACTTATTTTTCAAATTGATCCATGTATATTAATAATTAGCTACCAGGGAGCTTATCACTTATTCATGCATGTTTGATAAGTATGATCCATTGCAAGGCACGCTTTCAAATGCAAATATTCCTTTCAAATTTTTTTGACTACAAGCATTTTTTTTTTTTTTGGCATTATTTTTTTTTCTCTTTTACTGAGAACTTGATCAGTCATGCACAATTCTTCCCTCCTGGACCAAAGTGGAGCTTAAGTGAGCTCTCTGACCCCTATGAACAAGTTTCCAGTGAATAAAATATGGAGACCGTCAACATGTAATATATGTATTCTCATTGCCTAGCGCAAAAGAGTGCTACATAAAAAAAATGAATAACTACTTGATTTATGGTACTTTTACAGTTAGTCAATAAACCAAGAACCAACTGCCAAGAGCTAGGAGTAGAAAAACTGATTGCAGGCCTTCCATTGCTGAAGTAAACTAATATGACAGTGATAGAAGACAGTCTTGTGCATATATCACCGACACTTAAGAACTCCTTATCTTGGTTCCTCTCCAATCTGCAACCGCTTTCCCACACTCGAGGCCCTGGGTTGTATAAATGTGAGAACAAGCCTGCGTGGTGGATACCGACTGTGCCAACTCTGAACTAATAGGCCAAATGGTGGTGATTTGAGGACACACAGGCCAATAGGAGGCATGTAGAGTTAGATATCTTCTCTTGCACAGATGTCAAGAGAGACAGCCACAAGAGATCCAGTGTTGTAATAATGATGGTAACAAAAATCAATAACAAAACTTGTTGTCGTCCTTCATATGAACCAGGACAAAAATGTAAATCAGATAAAACAGCTCTCCTGGGTGGGTTCCGGAATGTGTTACGTTATTACGAAAGACTAAAAATAATCAATAACCCTACTATGGCCAAGTCAATTTGAAATACCATCAGATTATTTCGGGAATAGCCATCTTCTTTTTTTAATATAATAAAAAATATCGCCTAATTAATTATTCGTCAGGATGTCCGGATAGTTAATTATTGGAATTGTATTAAAATGAGGCTGTAAATATCCATTGCATGTATGAATGCTGGTGGCAACCAAATACACACAGCTTATACATTAGAAACATAGTCAGTAACTACCAATGTGTACTTGCAAGGTCGAAAACTAGTGCTGGTACTTGCAATAACAAAGCTATTACCATATTTGCTATATTAGTAACACATGTGCTAATGTAAGTGACAGAGGTGTGTCTGCGGTAATTTAATGAAGCCGCATAAAATAAAAGTAATTTTGGGTTCAAGTGTACTTTTATTGGAGATGCGCAGTAAACATGGTATAATCTCAATGACATTCAAAATACAGAGAAACATTTTCCACCACATGGATGATAAATATTCACAGAATACAAATAAGAAAATACACGTTTGTAATGAAGATCAAAAGACCAATATTAAATGAATGGAAAGAAAAGTAACTTTCCAAAAATACTGAAAACGCGCTTTGACACTAGAATCTCAATATACCACAGGGTGCGACCTCGTTTGTGTGATCTATAACAACAAAACTACAGTTCAGTTGGCATGGCAATGAGTCGACATGACAACTATTTAATATCGTACTGCATACATTTCTAATAATACACCAAGAACTGGGAGTTTTCCAGACACCATTGTTCGCACTTACCACATGGCGATAAAATATCAATTCTATTGAAAGGGACATACGTATATAAATATTCAAAATTGCTTGCTAGGTATGACTATGACTAGGTATAACTATGACTATAGTTACAATAGCGAAGATCGTGCCACCGATGATATCAAAAGTATGATTATATATGCAACTTTCATCAGTAATTAGGCTCTAAATTGACACTTTGACATATTTCTACTGGAAGGCCAAAAACACAAGTACTTATTATACCCCTCCAGTAAACAACTGTTTGGTTATTATTAATTAGGAATATTGAAAAAAAAAATCTGCTGGTAAACTTATCAGGAAATCAATTCTATAAAACAAGAGTTCGGTAATCAAGATATAACAATCCTTGATTGACCGAGTTCCTGCTACTGACCCATTATAATTTGTTTCATTTCATCTCAACCATGTGATTGAAAATAAATCAAGCTCAGATTAATATGATGAAGCCATTCCTCTCTCTCTCTCTCCCTCTCTCCCGATATCGTGTAAAGCTTCAGGCAAGATTCATTATAAGTCAACATGCTGCAAATCTACAATCAAGAGTACTTGCTTTCCCCCAGATGAAATTTTGCCTGCACATGACAAACAAAAGTGATCGATACGACAAATACCAGTACTAATTATTCCGATTAGCCTTTAAATTCATACAAATGCACTCACTGTAAGTGAGAGTGGATTCTTTTAAAATTAATACCATTAAAAATGTGTGAACAGTCAGGAATGCACATAATGCATACAAAAAAAAAAATCACAAATTAAGTGAGGTTACAAATTTTATACAGATTGACATCAAACCATGTTTTTAAATCAACCGATTAATATGACCACAATAAAAAGGTAACAATGACAACAATGAGAACAGCAGTCATCTACACTCTCCCATATATTCCAGTTTACAAAGATATTGGGGGGGGGGGGGGGGGTTAGTGACACGTATACCTAGAAGTCCAACAAGATAATTGACATTTTAAATACACACACACGTCATGTACATTGATCAGTACTAACATAATCACATAAGTTATCTTTAAAAAAAGATTGCCAGCAAAATCAGAAAAACAGACCGCAAACACAGGGCACTGCCTTACTAGTATGATGATATGGGGATAAGAAAAAAAAATCCCTGATACAACTTGTTAATCTGTGCAACAAGAAGCCATTCTGGAATGGCCAATCTAAATGTGGTCACTGATACCACTATAAATGCAGTAGAGATATTTCTTAAATAAGCAAATGAGGTAAGGCAATACATGGCAAACACTTGTCACAACACAAGTATACAGAACAAAGTCTGCGATAACAGGATCTGGCCTACAGGTTAGTTCAACGGAAGCCAAAAAACCTGTTACGTTCTCCTACTCAAGTTTGTGCAGCGTGGCCATGGAGACATCTTCTTTGAACTTTCAATTTCTTTTGCATTAACGGTACTTTCATTCACTCTTCATATTTAAATCGCAAACACTAATCTTCCAAATTTATTCTCTTACATCTTCCGGAAAGGTATTGTAAAATGACCAAAAAAACAATAGAGATACAAGACTTCCGTTCTGCAGTGAGATTCTATTCAATAAGTGGCAAATTAAAGTTCCATTGTGTGGCACTCTTTTAAGCTAGCCAGTGTGTCTTGGGTCCTATTTGCATAAACACAACAATATACCCATCACTTTTGCATAAACAGAGCTTTGAAAACACTCGCGCACACGCACACACACACACACACATACAGCAATTTGCCCATCACAACAAATACAACTATTTAAAATCATACATTGTCATGGTTTGATAATGCACACACACACACAAAAAAGATGGTCCTACTTACTCGTATTTTCACTACTCTGGCTCGAACTCCTGCAGGCCCATGCTTCTTCAAGTACATTTTCTAAAGCAGGAAAAAAAAAACTTTTTAAGTTGCAATATAGTTGAGTCTCTAAGCAAACTGCATGCAGTGGATATGAGCTATATACATGTAGCTGAAAGGTAATTTCACTCAATTGTGTTTTTCAATTGTTATGCAAATTAGCATGACAAAGATATACCCAGAGTTTTAAATGCAGTATAGCACTCACTCTGATGAAACATGTGGAGATTTCCAGAGAAAAACAGGAGGGAGAAAAACAAAACTTTTTAATACCTTTATCTAGTTTATGTAGCATCCCTAAAATGAATTATTTCTAAAGCAGCTCTTTATCTGCCTACCACCACAAATAACAAAGATTGGAGCCCCATGCAAATAGTTTCAAAAACAGTGAAAACGATAATGAGCAGAAAACCCAATCAAAGATCACACATGTTCTAAGTATAGTTCCATCATGTCATAATTCCATGGGAAGTTAACCTGCTCTCAGTCAACAAACTTTAATCGCCAGTTTATTTTCTCTCCTAACTATTTTACTAATGATAAAATTATTGGACTTTTGGTGGTTAGGCAGATCTTTGCATAAGAATCCCAATGGGGCCAACGCGATGGATAACTTCGATGGATATAGAGAGAGAGGAAAAGCCACTGCTTGGCATAGACCCACACAAGCCTTGTTCCATGATCAAAAGATTTAAATATAACAATTGTGAAAAAAACACTAAAAGACCCTTGCTGATAGATTAGTTCACAAGATTTATGCTTTGTTAGGAATGTAATGGATAAATAAATATTACAAGCATAAAAAACATGCTGTATTGATTTTTACCTAAAAAAAAACATGACAAAATAATGCATGGTATAGTTCTTGCATCATCATAAACGGATGTTGTGAAAATGTTAAAAGAGAGATCATTTCTATTAATATCAACAGTAAGCCTTGGTTGGAACATGCCCATAATCGTGGTGCACACAACACAGTATAGCGCAGCTTGGCAAAACGCCACTTGGCATTGTGCCCATGAAAACCACACTGGCCATGTCTAAAGGTGTGTTCATTTTTGTTTTTTATTACAGAGCACTATGAAATGATATTTCAGATGATCTCAAGCACTCTTTTTGTGCAGTCTTGTTTATCCTTATTCTTTATGTGAATTGCATCCAAGGCCAGGCCTAGCCATCCAAATTGCACACACCCCATTCCATCATAACAAATCAATAAAGGTGAACATATTATCACGATTTAAAAAAAAAAAAATGGAAACAGACCACCCTGGCAATATGTCTGGATAAATTTTTTATACAAGCCACCAATAACATGTCATCCCGAAAGTTTGACATCATTCAACATCATAACGGGAATAACGAACGTAACAACTACGATGAAATTATTTCAATATCAGCATCAAAATCTCTAAACATGTTCATTCAATGTGTGGGCTCAAAAAAACTGGACTGAAACTTTCTGAATTATTTTACGTCAACCTATCATTGAATAAGACTGTATGTAAAAGCACAGACCTGACTCTATGGTGAAAGATCCCTTTCAGTGCCTGAAATACCAAAAACCCATGATGCAAATGAACTTGATACTAAATCAAATTTGTGCTTGCTATTTTATTTCTTATCATGATAAAGTCAACACAATAAAAGCTTTGTTCAAAAACATCTTTTGAGGCTCACAATCACAAAAAATTAACATGTTTAGATTTCTTACACACTCGCACTCTCTCTCCCTCCCCTCCCTCCCTCTCTCTTTCTCCTGCATGCATTTTCCTGCATACTTGATCTCTCTTGTGTGTAAGCACTTCCCCATTTTTCATACTGGCAGCTAGTGGCTGAAATTTGATTATACGATTCATCTAACAAATAATTCCCCACAATTCTTTGTACTCGTAAAGGTAGTTATGTTATTTTCGATCCAGCTAATCTACTAAAAGCAATTTCAAATGAGATGCTCTTCGCTTTCTATACCCAAGTCCCTTGGTGGCAAGGCAGACCCCTGGCTCACTTATTTCAACGTGGTCAGAGTCAAAATATTAATTTCCCGTTAGAGTAATTTTGTCAAATTGGGAAAAAGGGAATGAATGCATTTTGATATATTCGCAAGCGTGAGCCAACCTAATTACCAAGATACGAATGTAGGCCGGGAATTTGCATACGCTTGATGCATGTCATTGCCGCAGCTCTCTGCCAATCATATGCTTTTGTATGCACTCTCCTACAGTTGTACAATCAAACCAAAAGAAGCACTCTGAAAGAAATGCCTTGCTAATTGGAATGGCATAAAAACAGTGTTTTTTTTTATTGTAATTTCCCCACAAAGAAGTCAGTCAATTCAAGTCCAAAGACTATTTTTTTTAACTCTCAAAAAAGCTAAGCTACAGAAAATTTTCACACCACTGTTAGCTGAGCTGAACTAAATGTAATTTTACAGAAAAGTGGTGCAAATTCCACAAGCCAAAAATCCTCTGCATGTGTCTTCACCTTTTTCTTACATGAAAATTATACCACCACCACCACCACCCCCTCAAAAAAAAATAAGGCTCAAAATAACGCTCAGTCCTCTGCAACAATCTAGCTAATGCAGTAACCGTAGACTCACCATGGCCTGCTCATTCCCCAATGCTAGTGCTTTAATCTCAGTATCTGAAACACTAGCCTATTTCTAGCACTGATACACACACACAAAAATCATTCTATTTCACAACACCTAAATTTCTAGTTTAGCAAAAATAACAGTTTCACAGTTAAATCAAGCGTGTTTTATTGTCATGCCATTTGGAAAAGTGAATGATTTATGGCAGTAGCATCTCAGTTTGTATGTGAACCAACTTCAGTGGTGAAATCTTTCATCTGTCCAGGTATCATTAACCTTCTGTTCAAAAAGTGAGAGAAATTGTGCCACAGCCACATTAACATTGTTAGATAAAAAAAAAAACACCTACCCCTGATATTGCCCAGCCCCAGCAGAATTTCTGAAATCCTTATATACCAGAAATATATTTACAAATACATTCGACAGTGTTTTGTTTCCTGATAATCATTATTATATAGCGAACTGAAACACTGAACATATTTCTCCGAGTTACTTAAATGACGCCGGAATCCATACAGCATTTTTATCTTCATTCTAATATATTGGTTGCATGACTCAGTTGAATAAATAGCAAATAGTACAAACTGATTGTTTCAGTTTCAACTCACTGATTAACAGCAGGAGACGTAGTACTAAGTACAGGCCAACAACTACCATGTGAGAATTTGCTCCCTTTAAATAAATCTTCATAATATATTGCTTAGCTATGTCGGTATGCATCTATTGTAACCACTACAAAACTATTGTACAGACACAATTAGTATGTCTATACAGAACATTAAAAGTTTAAAGGCCAACTCAAGGTCACAGGGTACAATATTAACATAAATAGGATGCCAAGTTCCACTGAGGCTTGAGACTTCATGACTTTGGTTGGGTGGCTACGGTTAACTTATTTTTATTATTATCCCCCGATAATACTCGCTTTGCGATAAAAAAAAAAATATTAAAACATAGAAACACCTCAGTTTTAAGTTTGCTTACATTAGATACATGTAGGGTTCATACATTAAATAAAATTCTACCTGAAAACATGTGTCTGTTTATATGGGCAATGAGCCAAATACATCACCTTACCCACCCTTCCTTCCTTTTCCAAAATAATTTAAATCCAACGAGGTCATCCTTCATGAATTTTGTGGCCCCCTATCAATTCAGGGGTTCATGGCCCCTACTCTTGAAATCAAGCCAAAAGAGGCTCTAAAATTTGTTTGGTCCAGTCTCTGATGAGTCCACAGTGTATACAGCATGCAGGCAGGCAGGAAGGAAGAGAACTATGTGCAGAGAGCTATTGTTGACTTATTACACACATGTTGGCAAGGTGCCAAGTCTCCTTGTCCTCTGCATTCATATAGCTTATAAATTAAAGTGCATACACCCCCTTTTCTGCTGTATACTAGAAAAATTACTCTTTTTCTTTATTTTTCTTTTACAGAAGGAAAAGAATGACAATTTTTTTATTTTGGTTGGAATGTACCAATTTAAATAAATTATTTTAAAGCTATGACCTCATCCTAAAACAGGGAATAACCTCTATAGAGCTGAGGCTATGAATAGCTATGATGACAGAAAATCTGAAATAGTGCCAAGTTTTTTTTTTAAAGCTCCCACAATGCACGTTTTTTTACTCAACATAATAACAAGCATGCGAGTTTGATCAACAGCCAAGAAATTATTTCGCTTCATAACTATAACAGTTTTGAGAGAACAATAAGAGATCATAATGTAGTGGTTTTTTTTTAATTTAAATATTGCATACAACTCTCAGCTATTTAGACAGCCTACAGACAAACAGTTTTTTTTGGGGGGGTTTCCAGAATAATCAAACGACAGAAACAGAAGTTGAGTTGCATAGTGTAGAAATATGATTAAAATTATACAACGCATAATTATTTTTTTAGGTGCAGGCAGAATACATAAATTATGTAAATTAGGAAGATGCTCTTCTCCCTCACATACAAAATAATCATTAATTTTTCTTGTGGGAATTTTTAAACAAACATTGACTTTTGAAAAGGAGTGTAAACCAGGTAAGCCATGGATGCATCAATACATTGGCACAGTACATGCATCCGTTAAATGTGTCAGCGAGCATTCATTTATTAACAAATTTTCAAAATTCATGAGAGTCAACGTGCGATGATACAAAAAAAAAAAAACAACTCTAAAGTTCAAGGCGTTCACAATACATACTTTCTTGAATACATTATGGTTAAAATTCACATTCGACAAAAGCAAGTAGATCTCCTTGCCATTTCAAATACGACAATATTATGGAAATTGCCACAGACACACCATAACCACCCCATGTGCTGTAAACAAATGCCCCCCCCCCCCAATTTTTTTTTGCAAATAGCAAGAAAAAAACATACTAGCACACAGTGGTTTTAAAATGCAGCCGGGCACAATTTTCTGTTGTTTTAAACATCGGTTATTTACTACATATAACAGCTTGGCAACATATGACCTAAGAATTTAAATAAAAGTAGGGCATAGAATTTCAAACCCCGATATAAAAGCCAGAATTATGTTAGAGTTTACAGTTTAATCATAGTTAATGTTGTATCATGATGTTGTTGTTTTTATCAACAGGGAGATGGGCAGTACATCAAATTCAATTGTTATGTTGGGAAGTACTTCATTTCACCAAGGCTGGGTTGGGACTTTGTTTTGGCACATGTCCAACTAGCTATTCAATAGCCCAATAATACCATGGAATTTATCAGCTTTATTAAAAGGACTGGCCGACTTCATGGGACAATTTCTCACGTTTTAACTGGCGATTTTAATTTTTTTTTTTATCAAAATTTTTTATGTATTTTTATCTAATTAATGAGAAGGATTTCGTTTATCAATATATCTCAGTTTGTCTACAGTTGACCTTCCTAGCTAGTATACGTAGGCAATGCATTTACATGGTGTATGAGAGATAGAAAGCAACACACCCATTACTCTGTGTATTGCAGAATGCACAAAAGAAACAGGCATGGTTTTTCTGCGGCAAATATGCATAGTATTTTCACTGTTCCCTAAAATCCATTAATATTCAACTGTTGCTGCCCGTTGATTCGTTTTAGGACATAAACAGTTAGTTGACTCCTGTTGTGAAATATACACAATGTCGTTTAAAGGCTTTAACAGATCAAACAGTCGTTTCATAATTTGTTATAATTTTAAAAAAAAGAATTAGCGTATATTTTCTCAAATGTTTACCTGTTGCATCTTTTCGAAGTCCAAGCTCGGTCGGTTGAGGAGATGCGGTGAGAGTTCACCCAAACCCTGTCGGTGCCTTTTCCTCGGCGATGAATCAGATGGACCAACGTTAGCTAGGAAAACTCGGCTCCCATGCGACCTGTGACACAGCCTCTGAAGCTGTTTCGGTGGGGATGAACTGAACAGCACCGGTACAGGTTTGAAGCACAAGTCCCTCACTTCATCGTCGCTTGACCCTGGACTCTCTCCGTTAAAACTCAAACGATTCACCTGCGACCACTTTCGCTTCTCCGCTGCTTGGTTCTCTTTGCATTGTTTCTCTATATTTTCAAGTTCCTCCTCTGAACTATGTCTGTCCTTCTCGGTTAAAGGTTTAAACACATTTTCTGTCAAACACGGCCTGTCTTCTAAAGGCTGGTGGGATTTTACGGAGCATATAGAAACTGTATTCGCAAGAACGGGAAGGGGGTAACCGCTCGCGATCTGTCCGTCATGTCTGCTTTCTGCGGAAACAAACAAACGTTTCGCGTGACACATGGTGCCTAATTTTCTCTTTTTAAACAAAAATCTCAACACTGATCACATCAAAATTCACGGATCAATTCAATGTTTACCCACCTTTGCTCAGCTGCTCAATTTCTTGATTTTCCGCCTCTGAACCGGAGTTAAAATCCTCGTCTTTTTCGACCTCCTGTGAGAAGAAATGAAGAAACAATCATGTCCGATGTCATTACACGTTGCCCAATTGAGAATCGGCAAAAATGGTGAAAGCAAGACAACCACCAAAAGGGGTATAAAACTTACCTTGGGATCATAAGGTGTGACTTCATTGAGAGATTGGGATCGCAATTTCTGTGTGAGAAACCTGAGCATATCCAAAATAGAGCTGCTGGGAACAGGCGGAATGGCAGACAGCCAACAAGAGTCGTTCCTCGTGATCACAAATCTGGCTAAGTACCGGTACACGAAGCTCGCTTCTTCGCCATAAAATGTCACCTGAAATAATGCCCTAATGCATAAGTGAAAACGCAGAGACAAACTACAGTCATCCAAATAGAAAATATCCAAAATTGGCAACGATACGCTCATGAAAAGCCTGTCTAACCTGACTTTAAAGGCACTGGACCATTCTGCCCCTATTCTAGCGTACAGGCAAGTTACCCATTCAAAACGGTATAGGAAGCGATGTTACAGTACGACTGGCTGATCGGGGAATGAAGTTACACGCGGATCAGCTGAACGACAATGGTAACACCCAGTCACAACAGGAAAACAAACGCTGATTGGCTAAAAATGACAGCCCCCTTGTCGGCAACCCCGGTGACCTGACCTCATTAGCATACACAATAGTGAAATAACACGACCGAGAATTAAATGAATGAAAAAGTTGCCGCCCCCGCACCAAGTGAACTCGAACTACGTGTGTCAGGGTATCGACTTGAAATTTACACTACGGCCGTTTCTTTTGAAAAACAGTTGACGTTTTATGCGAATTTATTC